CCGGGCCCTGTTAAATAGAAGCAAAAAATAGAGGGAAAAACAAGAAAAGAGGCCAAAAATTTAATACATATTCTTATTATTTGTTTACAATATAAATAATTAGGGATGCATTTTTAAATATTTAAATGTTAAAGGCATTAGAACCTATTCATAATTCGGACATTATTCGGATAATTATTCAGATTTGAAGGAGTATTCGAATTTGGGGTAGTATTCCAGATGAAAGAATTTTTTAAATTGTATTCTAATAAAATAACAAAAGCAAATAAATATTCGAATACTTTAAATAAACTTATTTAAAATCTATCAAAATATTATAATAATTTAATTTTGTTGAGACACTATAGATAAATAGTCTCATTTTGACATTTTCATCATATGCTAAGTTAATAAGAGCTGTTCGAAATTTCGAACTTTTGACATTGGCAATCAAGATTTCGACCCGTGTTTTCGAAACAAGTCTTAGAGATAAAAGGCCATATTTATCTCTAAGACTTGTCTTAGAGACTAAACAAGTCTTAGAGACTACGGCCATATTTTACGGTGTCTATGGATATTTCATCGACCGATAAAATTTTGAAGTTTGTCAGTATTTAAGTTTAACGGGCTCCAGTTATAACAAGATATTTAATATCAGTTATGTAGATAGCTTGAACTTTTATTTGTTTATTATATAAAATATTTTAATTTAAGATGAATAAATTTATTATTATTCTTCTCTCATAAATGGTTGTTCTGCCTACCCTCATCCTACCCTCATCCTTACCTACCCTCATCCTTAATACCTACCCTCATCCTTAATACCTTAAATATTTCATTATTAAATTCATATATTCCCCATCAATCTCATAGTTTGATCATTAGCTAGACAATAGACAGAACACGTTTTTATTGAGCCTGAAGTGGTTCCCATTTATTCTACCAATTATTCTATTTAACGAATTATTATATCAAGTACACTACGGTTTAAGAAAAAAGTATCTACTCAACTTTTCCAACCCATCGTAAAGGTCCGATTCAAAATAGGAAGATACTTTTTTCCTAAACCGCAGTGTACTTGATATAATAATTCGTTAAATAGAATAATTGGAAAAATATATTGCAACGCGTGATCCAAAAAAGATGCGAAAAACAGAGTTAAGACTTGTGATCCTTAAAGTCCAAAAATAAGAATCCATTATTTCCTAAATTAATGTCCCAGTAATTAGTTTGAATGAAATTCGATTCTTATCCTTTGATTTAACGAATTTCTATTTAACGAATTATTATATCAAGTACACTGCGGTTTAGGAAAAAAGTATCTTCCTATTTTGAATCGGACCTTTACGATGGGTTGGAAAAGTTGAGTAGATACTTTTTTCTTAAACCGTAGTGTACTTGATATAATAATTCGTTAAATAGAATAATTGGTAGAATAAATGGGAACCACTTCAGGCTCAATAAAAACGTGTTCTGTCTATTGTCTAGCTAATGATCAAACTATGAGATTGATGGGGAATATATGAATTTAATAATGAAATATTTAAGGTATTAAGGATGAGGGTAGGTATTAAGGATGAGGGTAGGTAAGGATGAGGGTAGGATGAGGGTAGGCAGAACAACCATTTATGAGAGAAGAATAATAATAAATTTATTCATCTTAAATTAAAATATTTTATATAATAAACAAATAAAAGTTCAAGCTATCTACATAACTGATATTAAATATCTTGTTATAACTGGAGCCCGTTAAACTTAAATACTGACAAACTTCAAAATTTTATCGGTCGATGAAATATCCATAGACACCGTAAAATATGGCCGTAGTTGGTACGTTCCGGGCCCTGTTAAATAGAAGCAAAAAATAGAGGGAAAAACAAGAAAAGAGGCCAAAAATTTAATACATATTCTTATTATTTGTTTACAATATAAATAATTAGGGATGCATTTTTAAATATTTAAATGTTAAAGGCATTAGAACCTATTCATAATTCGGACATTATTCGGATAATTATTCAGATTTGAAGGAGTATTCGAATTTGGGGTAGTATTCCAGATGAAAGAATTTTTTAAATTGTATTCTAATAAAATAACAAAAGCAAATAAATATTCGAATACTTTAAATAAACTTATTTAAAATCTATCAAAATATTATAATAATTTAATTTTGTTGAGACACTATAGATAAATAGTCTCATTTTGACATTTTCATCATATGCTAAGTTAATAAGAGCTGTTCGAAATTTCGAACTTTTGACATTGGCAATCAAGATTTCGACCCGTGTTTTCGAAACAAGTCTTAGAGATAAAAGGGGGTAGTCTAGTGTTAGTCTTGTGTGAGTCTTGAGTCAGTCTATAGTCAGTCTTAGTCCGTAGTCAAGCTACATTCTACTCCAGCGCATAGTCTCGTCATTTCCATTGTATTGTTACCTTTGTGATAAACCTTGTTAGTGAGCTTGTTAGTTAGTCTTTCTGTTAGTATCGGACACACCGCAAGTCGATACATAACAGTGGCGCGGTCGCACAGCTAAACTCTTAATTGAGTAGTCAAAAAATCGAACAGGCAGACCCATAGTCAAAAGTCAGTTTGATTAGTCAAATAATTCAGTCGAAATGAATGATATGCTTGATAAATTGCTGCAGACACAACTGCAAATGCAAAGTCAATGGGATGAAATGATGAAAGGGAGAAAGTCAGTTGTGACCAAGTCTGAATAAGAAAAGTCGACGGAACTGTATTGTAAGTTGAAGTCGTTGATTCCAGAGTTCCAGTCAGATGTTGAAAAGGGAATCACATTTGAGTCTTGGTATGCTAAGAACAAGTCCTACTTTGAAGTAGACGCGCAGTCCTTGGCAGAGGAAGTCAGAGTCCGATTATTAGTTGAAAAGTTGGGCCGAGTTGAATATGCGAAAATGTCGCAGAAGTTGTTGCCGGAAAGGTTAGAAGAGATGAGCTTCGAAAGTCTATTCGTGGTACTGAAAAAGGAATTCAGTGACCCAAGATCGAAATTAGTCAGAAGATTCGAAGTCATGAAGATGAGGTGCCCATCAGTGGAGAAAATTGTAGAATTCGAGACTCTAGTCAATTCGGAATGCGAGAAAGCGAATATGGACTTGACAGTCGAGGAATGCAAAATTCTAGTATTCATAGCTGGCATTCCAGAGAAGGCGCTGGATGTAAGGCAGATAAGTCTGAGATTTGTAGAGTCGTATGCGAAGTCGGAAGTCTGCACGTTGAAGGCATTGATGGAGAAAGTGAGGAGTTATCTGGCGAATAAGTCGGAGGCGAAAATGTTCGATAGTCAGGCAAAGGTCAAGAGTGGACCTAAAGAGTATGTTGAGATAAATAATGTTAGTCGGATCGAACATAGTCAGAGCAGAAAGTCGAAGCGATCAAGAATTAAGTCAAGGCAAAAAGAACGCCAAGTTGAATCACGTCAGTGTTATAATTGTGGAATAGTCGGACACATTAGTCGAGATTGTAGGAAACCAAAGAAAAGGTTTAAGCGAGTCGATAGTCCAGAAGTAAATCAAGTAGAAGTTGATTCTTCAGTCCCACATATAATGACGATAGAAGTCCCGAAGTTGAACGAGAATAGTAGAAAAATTAGTCGCGAAAAGAATCGAAAGAGTAAAAAGTCGAATAGTCCGAAGAGTAGTCGTGTTAATCAAGGCTCGACGAAGTCAAGATTCTTAGAGAAGAAGTCATCGGGAAATTCTAGTCGATTCAAAGAAGATGAAGAAGTCTTAGTCATGAACAGGAGCAAGAATGGAAAAAAAGTTTGGTTACCTGGGACTATTCTGAGGAAATTCGTGGAAGGATATAAAGTCAAAGTCCCAAGGCTGAGAGCCATAGTCAGTCGCGAAGAATGGCGAATTAGGCCAAAGTCAATGAAGTCAGATGAAAGCCGTAATCAAGGTTCGACACATGGTCAACCTCGCAGTCAATTGGAGTCTAGTTCCAATTTGAAGGAAGCACCAACAACGACGGCAACACCGAACGCGACGAGGCCAAAAGATGAGCCAACGCAAGGGAGCACTGTGACGGGAGACGATAGAAGTAGATGAAAGATGTAAGTAAGAAGTAAATAAGTGTGATAATATTGTTGTTGTAAAATTTTGTTTGTAATTATTGTATCTCCCCTTTTGTTGCTCACTTTGTATTTTTGGCCCTTTGTATTTTTCGCTGTATTGTTTGTGTTGGAGTTTGAAGTCCACCAAGTCTAGTCGGAGAAGTCGGAAACATAGTCCCGACTTAATTAAAGAAGGGAGGTGTTAGGGTGGCGGCTTAGTATAAAAGGCGAAGCCTTTTAGTAGTCGGGGAGTTAGTGTTAGTTGTGTTAGTCTAGTGTAAGTCTAGTGTTAGTCTAGTGTTAGTCTAGTGTTAGTCTTGTGTGAGTCTTGAGTCAGTCTATAGTCAGTCTTAGTCCGTAATCAAGCTACATTCTACTCCAGCGCATAGTCTCGTCATTTCCATTGTATTGTTACCTTTGTGATAAACCTTGTTAGTGAGCTTGTTAGTTAGTGAGCTTGTTACCTTGTTAGTGAGCTTGTTACTTTGACTTTATATCCTTCCACGAATTTCCTCAGAATAGTCCCAGGTAACCAAACTTTTTTTCCATTCTTGCTCCTGTTCATGACTAAGACTTCTTCATCTTCTTTGAATCGACTAGAATTTCCCGATGACTTCTTCTCTAAGAATCTTGACTTCGTCGAGCCTTGATTAACACGACTACTCTTCGGACTATTCGACTTTTTACTCTTTCGATTCTTTTCGCGACTAATTTTTCTACTATTCTCGTTCAACTTCGGGACTTCTATCGTCATTATATGTGGGACTGAAGAATCAACTTCTACTTGATTTACTTCTGGACTATCGACTCGCTTAAACCTTTTCTTTGGTTTCCTACAATCTCGACTAATGTGTCCGACTATTCCACAATTATAACACTGACGTGATTCAACTTGGCGTTCTTTTTGCCTTGACTTAATTCTTGATCGCTTCGACTTTCTGCTCTGACTATGTTCGATCCGACTAACATTATTTATCTCAACATACTCTTTAGGTCCACTCTTGACCTTTGCCTGACTATCGAACATTTTCGCCTCCGACTTATTCGCCAGATAACTCCTCACTTTCTCCATCAATGCCTTCAACGTGCAGACTTCCGACTTCGCATACGACTCTACAAATCTCAGACTTATCTGCCTTACATCCAGCGCCTTCTCTGGAATGCCAGCTATGAATACTAGAATTTTGCATTCCTCGACTGTCAAGTCCATATTCGCTTTCTCGCATTCCGAATTGACTAGAGTCTCGAATTCTACAATTTTCTCCACTGATGGGCACCTCATCTTCATGACTTCGAATCTTCTGACTAATTTCGATCTTGGGTCACTGAATTCCTTTTTCAGTACCACGAATAGACTTTCGAAGCTCATCTCTTCTAACCTTTCCGGCAACAACTTCTGCGACATTTTCGCATATTCAACTCGGCCCAACTTTTCAACTAATAATCGGACTCTGACTTCCTCTGCCAAGGACTGCGCGTCTACTTCAAAGTAGGACTTGTTCTTAGCATACCAAGACTCAAATGTGATTCCCTTTTCAACATCTGACTGGAACTCTGGAATCAACGACTTCAACTTACAATACAGTTCCGTCGACTTTTCTTATTCAGACTTGGTCACAACTGACTTTCTCCCTTTCATCATTTCATCCCATTGACTTTGCATTTGCAGTTGTGTCTGCAGCAATTTATCAAGCATATCATTCATTTCGACTGAATTATTTGACTAATCAAACTGACTTTTGACTATGGGTCTGCCTGTTCGATTTTTTGACTACTCAATTAAGAGTTTAGCTGTGCGACCGCGCCACTGTTATGTATCGACTTGCGGTGTGTCCGATACTAACAGAAAGACTAACTAACAAGCTCACTAACAAGGTTTATCACAAAGGTAACAATACAATGGAAATGACGAGACTATGCGCTGGAGTAGAATGTAGCTTGACTACGGACTAAGACTGACTATAGACTGACTCAAGACTCACACAAGACTAACACTAGACTAACACTAGACTAAAACAACTAACACTAACTCCCCGACTACTAAAAGGCTTCGCCTTTTATACTAAGCCGCCACCCTAACAGGTACCGTCATTCAAAATCTAAACACTATATTTGTGATACTTGTTACAGAAGACAAAAAAGGATGAAGAAAACAAAAATCGAACGAAAAGGAAACGAATAAATAGTATTTAAATAATTATGATTTTCAAACTTTAATTTTCTGAGTTTATTGAACAAATTTTAAAGCTAGGTAAAATATAACCTATGTAATTTCAGTGAAAACAAAATTTTTTAAATGTTACCAATATTATGTATTATTAAATAAATAGATTTATTTTCAGTATTTTATTTTATGAAGCATAGTAACATTTATAATGACAGTGTAGTAAAGTAGGCAATGATGGTGCCAACATGGCTGAATGATGAGCCAACATCGCGATTGTCATGCTCCACAAATGAGACATTTATTACGATCTCGCTAAATAAATGTCTTTAAACATTTTTTTATGCCTTTAAACGAAACAATAACCTCTGACCCTTACTCAGTAACCTACTGCCTTCAAGGAAAATTTATATTATATTTAAATATACATATAATCTTATTTAAATGGAGTAAAGCAGCTGGGCTATAGCTATTTCTCTCCTTTAGCTAGTGCAAAAGGTTATTCGGCGGCTGGGAGCGAACCAGCATCTTCAGTTGACCGGACTGATGTGTTAGCCATTACACCACGCCGCCTACTGCTCAGCCTTAGGAAATTAATAGCTATATGCTTTACACCTCCATCCCCAGGGAAGACTGTCCCTAGTCTTCTTATCTGCCCTCTTCCCGCTTTTTCTCTCACCTGCGGGGTAAACTTAATCATCGACTTCTCTGGCGGAATTTCCTTTTCTCTAACCCAGGGCCTAAGGGATGGATCATCATTCGTTCAGCGTTCGCTGAACCATCCGGTGCTACCAGTGAAGCAGCTGGGCTATAGCTATTTCTCTCCTTTAGCTAGAGCAAAAGGTTATTCGGCGGCTGGGAGCGAACCAGCATCTTCAGTAGACCGGACTGATGTGTTAGCCATTACACCACGCCGCCTACTGCTCAGCCTTAGGAAATTAATAGCTATATGCTTTACAGTAGTATAACTCTAAATTTATTTGATAATCTCAGATAAAAAAAATAATTAGATAACGATTGGAATTGACAATGTTCCTTGACAGTTAAATTGAGTAGAATGCAAAAAAATTATGGCTAACAATATTTTTTGAGATCGAACCTCAAACTCTCATCGGTGAACCTATCACAGATTAAAAGTATCTTTAGTTGGTATCCCCAACTTACAAAAAATAAGTCTCTGGTAAAGGAATCTGTAAGTACGTAATTGTTTCAAGATTCATATTAATGAATTTAAATTAAAAAATATTTATGTTGTAGATATTAAATAAAAATTATAAACACATTCCTAGTATAAGGAAGAAGGGAGGTAAGCTTCATATCCAGGCAGCCTGCGAATTCTGTCTAATACCGGGGTAGCTACCATGAGTGTGCCGAAACAGATTTTAATAAGCGAGAGGCTTATGAGTTATAACTAGGGTTGCGCCCCGAGCCTTCGGGGTTGAAAAAGTCGGGGGTCGGGGTTTTCGGGGTTGACAAAGTCGGGGTCGGGGTCGGGGTTGCTCAAATTGTTCGGGGTCGGGGTCGGAGCTGAAAATAATGTCGGGGTTCGGGGTCGGGGGTCGGGGTTGAAGTCAAAATTTACAAAATCCAGCATTTTTATCCAACATTACTGTTCTAAATCAAAATTTTTATTAAAAAAATCAACTTAATCATCATTATCTTCACTTTCTGAATCTGATTCGTTATTATTTGAAGGCGCAAGAAGTACTTTATCCAAGTTAGCTTTTACTACGAGTATTTGCCTGACAGTTTTTCCTGACAATCTAAAATTATTATTTTCATTTAATCACAAATAAATAAAACCTATTCCTGAGAGTATTAGCATATATAAGTCCCGCTTTCGAGAAAAGCCTTTCAGAACAAATTGAAGTTGCGGGAATACAATGCAACATTTGAGCAATTTTAGCCATTTCTGGAATGAACTTCCCATTATCTCTCCACCATGAAAATAAATCACTATCAACTGGAACACGCTGCCAGGCTTTATATTGTGACAATTGCGATTCAATCTTTGACACAAAATCTGCTGACTCCTCACCAGAAATTGTTGTATTTGGCAATGTAGAAGTACAAGGAGATTTAGGTTTTGCCCAAATATCATCTAAATTTTAGTCAGTTTATTTTTAATGGCAAAAATACATTTCTCATCGCTGCTTGTACTTAAATGATCACTCAATTCAGCTTCTTCTGATAAAGTTTCCTCTTCTAGGTCAAATGACACTGGCTCCAAGTTTTCTACAGAATTGAGGCTCATCCTTACCAAGAAATTTTGATATATCCAGATTAGTCTGTTAATAAAAAATCTATATTTTATTAGTTTGCTCTTACTGATGTTGTTGTGTTCTTTTGCAAAAACTTCTCATATTCTGCCAAATGCATAGACTCGGGAAATTTTCCCGAGTCGGGAGTCGGGATCGGGATACCCGAGCATCACTAACATGCACCTATAATTCAGTATATTTTAAAGCTTGGAATTACTACTGGCATTATTAAAAGGTTGATATTTTAGACAAAACTTTAAGTAATTTGTTCAAAAAATTATTTTTAATGGATTTTCTTCAACATTATCCACCATATTAAGTATTAGATTATTTTCGTATTTAATTTATCTATAGAATTTGATGTAGCATACTACTCCATTTCACATACCGTAATTTTTTGGATGATGAATGATTAAATTCAACAAATAAGTACTACCACAATTTAGATACCCTTATGTCTAACATAAACGCCTAGAGAGGAGTCAAAGCTTAACATTGCTACTAACTTATCCTTGATAAGCGAGTAGGATGAAGCTAGTCTATATAAGCTCTAAGGGAATAGACCAAAGAAAACAGTTACTCATTCAGCTGAGAGTTTCCACGCAGTTCCTTACGCATTACACTAATTCTTACTCAAAGATATGAAATTTTTTATTTTCCCCGATTCATTAAGAGGATTTGAAGGAATTTACCTTATTTTGCGTATTGCCTGATTAATATTTTTGGAAGTCAAGCAACGCTTAGACTAATTATTCAAAGAGTTAAGCAAAAGTTAAGCTAACAGACATGAACGGCTTCAAAACTTGTTAGGTAGGCGTTAGTCTTATGTGAGAGTATAATCGAACTCATGAGAGAAAGGAATTCTCTTAAGCATTTCTCTCTTCCCTTTTGCTAAAAATTCCATCTTTAGGGGTGTATTTTTCTAAAGCCCAAAAAAGTTGAGACCCAGACTTCACCCCAAGACCAAAATGAAAAAACCCAAGAAAAGTCTAATTACTACACAATATATAAAGTTTTATTTTGACGATTCATTAAGACTCGCTGATTTGAAGGAATTTAAATTATCTGTCGTCGTTTCTGTATTTTTGGAAGTCAAGCAACGCTTAGACTAATCTCTAAACTCATAAGAGAAAGGAATTCTCTTAAGTAGTACTAGTATCTATGTCAAAAACTCTTAAATTGTTAAAAAATTGACGTTTTACTATTCGGATAATTGTGTTATTCTAATCTTTTGTTATTCTGTTAGTCACTAGTCACTTAATCAAAACCCGTTTTAAGGAGTCGTCTGAACCTTAGACACTGGATCTTTCCGCTACGCAGTACGCTACTTCATATTTCTCAAAAATATATAAAATTTTATTTTCCCGATTAATTAAGACTAGCTGATTTGAAGGCTTTTTGTCATTGTGCTGTGTGTCTTTCTGATATTTTTGTAAGTCAAGCAACGCTTAGACTAAATGATTAAATGCACAATAAAAAGTCTCCAAGCATCAGTATGTTAGTCAAAAAAACATTAAAGTAGTCTTTATAAAAATTTAAATTTCAAAATAAAAAATCGTCAACAAAGCCCGTAACCGTGTAGAATTTTTTGTAAAAGCGCATCAATCACGTTGTCAAGTATCAATTGAATCTTAAATTGAAATTTTTTTAGTGTTTTTGCTTTCTCTGTAGTGAAGTATGTATATTTCTACTATACCACACTTATTAACGAATTTAGCTTTGTCTTTATCTACCTAAGATACTTTCAAAAAATAGGAGAATGAATCAATCATCACAAACTAGCCTCCTTCCTATCATCTGTTCTGTCGCAAGAAGGGCGAGATTATTAGTTTAACGCCGAAAAGTTAGCGTAACTCTACTGATTTAGTCCAAAAATTAGGACTTGCAAAAATAGGTAAATCCGTCGAGTGATAACAAATTACTAGAAAGCATAGCTAGTCAATTTTTAAATATAGTAGAGTAATGAGAAATTATATATGTTTCAAAATAATGATTTTTTAATGATTTTTTTTTCAATTTTGCTAATTAATCCAAACATAAATTGGACTTGCAAAAATAAGACGAATATACTAAGAAAGCGGTAACATAAACGCGTTTTAATTTTGAAATATATGTGTAGATTAATGAAAAATTATATATCTTTCAGAAAGAGGATTTGTCTTTGGCACTTCCCTATGTTTGGATTAACAAATCGTGATTCAACACTGTACAATTTATTTACCTGATTAGTATCTGTAGCACAAGTTTCGTGAATATAAACAGTCTTGTTTGGATTAGAATTGAGAGAAGCAAATTTTTCTTCGATATATTTGACTTGATCTTCATATGTATTTGAACCTTTAAAATTTGAAAACTGAATTTGAAACGTATTAATTAATTTAAATAAAATGTGGTTAAATAAAGGTTGGATAATAATTGGATAAGAACTGGCAATACCGCTGAATCTCCTATATTTTTGTAAGCCAAGAATTTCCTCGGCTAATATAAACTCATCATTTTCCTAAGACTGAAAAGGTGTAAGCGAATCCCAACAAGCACCGTAAGAAGGCCACGATTTCAGACCTTGCCTCGTGGGTAACGCCAACTTAACTCTTACAAGAGTTAATTTGATACGTTGGCGGATAATGATATCCAGATTCGAAAGGCTCGAATAACCGGAACTTCGGTTTTGATACCTGTAACGGATCCGAATATCCAATGACATTCCCTGATCATCCGATCCTATATGAAGATACGCTATTAAATCTGGTATCATATTCCTCTTAAATCACTTAGTGGAATTTGAAACGTATCAATTATAATATTAAATATAGTGCTAAATATATAACAAGAATTGACCTCATGTATAAAATTTTATCATCCAAATTCTATTTTTGTAAGCCGAGAAATTACTTTGGCTAATTGGTTTGTAATTGGAAAGAATAATTGAATTTATTCTTTCCGGGCAAACTGTAAAACGATAAACCCCTACAAAAACTAAAAAATTAGTAAAGGATTTGTTACTGGGAGCTCTCCCATGCATGTTTATTAAAAGCTCTACCACCCACTGACTAATCGTTTTCATTTTTGCTTATGAGTTAGTCTGGGAGGATACTTCGATGTCTCTCTGATTCGAGAATATTATCATTAGAGCGTGTTTTTTTAGGTTTTTACCTATTTTTTTTGCGAACAGCCCTTGATGAGATAAGTCGAAAAAACACTGTTTTACACTGTTTACTTTTCGAGTAAACACTGTTTACTTTTCGAGTTATTAAAACCTAAAAAACCTATTTCGACCTTTTTTGGACCTATTCTAGGTTTTTTGAAGATTTTTCTTAAAATTTGATTATTTTTAGTCAATTTCCGAAAAATCTAGATCTCAGTCACCCAAAAACCCAAAAATTTTCGCCTGCGGCGCTAGTGATGAAAGAAGATATTAATGAATTTGAAGTGAAATAATTGGTTTGGGCGATTAAAAGAGATAACGGAGATTTGTGTTGTTAAGAGGGGGTTCTGGATTACTTTTTCCTTTCCCTGTATACCGCAGAAACCCTCTAGTTGGATTTGAAGGGAAAAAAGTCTCCCGATATAACGCTAAATCAAGGATATTTCTTTAATCATTCTATATCCAAATTAAATGCTACAACTCACCCATCTATCCAAATCCCTTTAACCCAATAAATTCCTATTCAATTCAAATCCACCGATATCCCTATTTATCTCGTAAACTCCCCTTATATCACTCAAATTTCGATAAATTTCTATTTAAAATTAAAAAATATCACAAAAAAGTTAAAATTTAGTAAATGTGATATCATTAATGTTTTAATTTCAATCAAAATCAGAACATATTTTGTCAAAATTTGGACCTATTTTGGCATTTTTCAACCTATTTCACCTATTTTTAACTTTTTTTTGGACCTAAATAGGATCCTATTTCACGATTTTTTGGACCTAAAAAAACACGCTCTAATTATCATTCCAAAATAGCATTGGGAATGGAGGGACGCGATTATGTCTTGCTTCTTTTGGATACTATTTCTTGCCGCAAGACGCTTGTTAAGCGCCTATCCCACCAATAACTGATTGTTTATAAAAAATAATTTACCCATATAATTTTTGAATAGGCATTGAATTGAAGTTGTTTTAATTTTTTCTTCAAATATATCTTTTTTGTTAAGGAAAAGAATCATTGCTGTATTGTAGAACCATCTTGAATTACATACTGAACGAAACAAACGTAGAGATTTAATCATTCGGTTCTGAAATAAGTTTTTCTTAATTATAATAAATTAGTCCACTATGTGGACTTACAAAAATACATATCAACAAAACAAAAATCTCCCTAATACATATGTACGCATTTTAAAGCACTTATAAACAACAAAAATAGAAAAATAAATATCTTTCAAAATAAGTATATCCCCGATATCCACTTACATAAACGGAAGCAATTAACGATCAAATGGCCATAACGGTTCAATTTGAAAGTAAATAAGGGAAGTACAAAGAGATAAGTACAAGATCGAAATAACTTCCAAAATAGGTACAAATTACAACTTTGATTTAGTCCACTTTGTGGACTTGCAAAAATAACAGGCGAAATTACACTATATGGAAACATAAGTTCTATTATTGAAGATACCTTTATAGCCTAGAAAAATGGAGTAATAAATAACTTGTATATGCTATATAACTGAATGGTATCGTAGTGGGACAACTGGGTATGGACGTTGTTCCGTCAACGGAAAGCATCGCCATCCCTCGTTGTTAGAACAACATCTCTCGCCAACAAATCAACATCACTAGCTTGTGGAACAACTTCCCCTAGTACATAATTTGTAATTATGACTGTTTTAAGATACTAATCTTCTTTTACTCAAATGGCAATCCGCAAATGCCCGTCCGAAAATTTCGTATAACCGATGGTATAGAGCCTCACAAATGCTTTTAATATTTTTAATAAAAATCCAAACCGTTCTTGTATCCTCAAACAGCACTTGGTCATATTCACTTAATGCAACTACGAATATTATGGCATGAACGTCCTAAATAATTTTAAAGATTTGGCGACATTAAACCCCAATTTACGTCAAAACAATGAATCCATTTTTTCCTTTCACTTCTTTGCCCGCCAACATCAAAAACGCGAAAATTGACACCTTTGATCTCGAATTTTACCTAAAATAGAGGAGATAAATTTAAATCGAATCATCTAATAAAATTGGATTTTCATTTATGGATGCTTTTTAGAAGAAAAAGGCTTTTTTTAATTACATATATCCTTAGGTAAGCTCCGGGAGCTGGCTCGGAAGCCGCATTGATTGTAGATTTAATATGGTATTAGTTTTTAATAATTATATACTAGAGCCCGGACGGAGGGGTTGGTCGATATTTTTCGATAGATATTGAAAAATAAAGGAAAAATACTTATCGAGCTCTATTACTTAATAGTCTTAGGAAATATATGTAAGACTTCCAAAAAATGATTCTGCTGTCAAAAATACGAGACAAAAAGAGCCTGTCATGAAAATACTTTTAAAGTTATTTTTCATAAAATTAATACGTGTAGTTAGTTGCCAACAAAATTTTTAACCTAGAAATTCCAGTAGTAAATAATTAATAAAGCCCGGACGGAGGGGATGGTCGATACTTTTTGAAAGGTATCTAAAAATATCTTATCAAGCCGGGCCATATTATTCACTAGTCTTAGGAATTAAAGACTTCCAAAAAATAATCAAGAAATTGCAGAACGAAGCTAATAGAAGCCCATCCTGAAGATAATTTTAAAATGATTTTTTCATAAAATTAATACGGTGCATATAGCCCGCGCCCGCAATCCCTTTTCGTTTTGCGGGATTTTGGGGGTGTGCGGGATTTTGCGGGATTATTCCCGCAAGCGTTTTTAAAAGTTACTCCCGCATACGGAATCACGCAAATACGATTCTGCCGGTCACTAGCTGTAAGAAAAATTTTTAACCTCAATAATTCCAGTAGTAGTAATTCTAAGCATTAAAATATCTTGAGTTGTTGGCACATATGTGTGAGCAGTTATTCTGTCTAGTGCGTTGAGAAAACTGAAAAATTTTTAAATTAATCGTCCTGCCTTCCCTACATGATTCCACAAAATATTAATTAATTTATTAATTTCAATTTATTAATCCGTCTGAAAAAACCACTGACATGTAGACTTTTTTCAACTAGCGGAGGGGCTCGCCCTTCGGGCGAGCCCCTTCCGCTAGCTAAATTCTAAAAATTACATAAGCTTAAATTAAAACACCTCATACATAAAACTCACTCGTCAACTATTAACTTTAATTCAACTATTAACTAAGATTTTCAACTTCCAACTATTAATATTTATGTCTACTATTAACTATCAATTTTCACTATTAACTATTAGCAATGATTCGACTATTAACTAAGATTTTTAACTTTCAATTATCAATATCTATGTCAACTATTAACTATCAATTTTCAACTATTATCTATTAACAGTGATTAAACTATTAACTAAAACTTTCAATTTTCACAATCAACTATTAATATCTATTTCAACTATTAACCTACTTTCAAATATTAATATACAAATATTAACAAACTTTCAAGAATTAATTTACAACTATGAACTATTAACCACCCTTCAAATATTAATTTTGAACTATTACTATCAACTATTAACAACACTAACTATAAGCTATTAACAACCCTTGTCACTTAACATTTGCCACTCTTATATCTCAGTCATTACCGCTTTTTTCTCACCCATTGTGGGACCGTTTTCTCAAGACTATTGAACGACTATTTTCTCTTTCCTATTGACGGGATCTTTTATCTTGTATATTGGCGAACCCTTTTCTCAAGCCATTTAACGGACACTTTTCTCTTGCTTATTGCTCGAAATCTTTTCTTCCCAGCATTGTCCTTTTCACCCAGTTACAGGACCGTTTTCCTCACCATTATTTCAACCATTTCTAGAACCTTTTCGCCCATTTACGGGACCCTTTTTGCTCACCATTATTTCAACCATTTCCAGACCCTTTTCACCCATTTATGGGACCCTTTTTGCTCACCGTTATTCCGACCATTGCCAGACCCGTTTCACCGAGTTACGGGACCATTTTCGCTTACTATTATTACAACCATCGCCATATTATTTTCACCCATTTTCGGGACCTTTTCGACCACCATTATACCAACCATTACCAGACCTATTTCACCCAATTAAAACCTCACAATAAAACAAACTGTTGGACACTCGCGTTGTTTAAATAAAAGATCAGCACTGAAAAACAAACTGTTGGACACTAACTTGTTAAATAAATGATCGCTTTGTTTTTGAATCTAAAAACAATTTTCAAATAAAACAAATTTTGAAAAACAAAACAAAAAAAACAATCAAAACACATCTTAAATACAATTAACATAAATACATACAACAATTAATAAAAGATTTTGTTTTTGAACCTAAAAACAAATTTTAAGTAAAACACCTTTTAAAAAACAAAACAAAAAATCAATCAAAACACATCTTAAATACAATTACAAACAAAAAAATAAAAAATTCGAGCAAAAAAATACAAAACAAATTCTAAAAAATTCATATTCCTTCTTTACTTCTCTAAAGACACACTATTTTCTGTTTTGGATATTTTGTCATTTTTAATTAAAAAATAAACACAACGCCAAATACAGCAAAATTTAAAGGTGCGGACAAACAGACAGAGAACTCTAAAATTATATATAGGACTATTTACATAATCTTAATTAAAATAATATATATTGTGTAAATAATTAGTACACAACTGTATTTTATGCTGTATGATTTCTATGCAGCTAAAGCTCAGTTTGTTAATTAGTGTCTTATATTGTTATGAACTTAGACTTTTGGGGTTGATTACTGGCTTTAGCTAACTAACAGCTTTATTAAGTTGGTATAACCAACTTCCAAAAAATTAAAAGCTGTTTGTCTCCATCGCTTATCACTGATAACTTATTCATTATTCTATTATTCCATTTTAATTAAAATTTTATATACCTTGTAAAATAGATAGCTATTTGTAGTCTTCTAAACTTTCAATTTTTTACAAAAAATTTTTATTTTTTTTCTTACAAGTTTAAGCATTAAACGTCACAAACTGCATGCATATTTAAATAGATGAGGCTATTTTTAATAAATTCCTGTTTTTGAGTTTTCATTCTATGCAAAACTTCATCTTTCTTTTTGCTTTCTGCCATTCATGGAGAGGCCATTCTATTAGAATAAATACGGTATATTGTAAAAATTAGTCTAAGCTTTGCTTGACTTACAAAAAATTACAAATGCACTTGTGATGAATGCCTTTCGATCTAAACAATAAATTTACATTTAAACCGAAATTTTTTAATTAATTGATATTAATGTCGAGCAGTTCAAGTGTACAATAAGATACCGTATTTATTCTAATTGAATGGCCCCTCCAATTGAATGACACATTTTGAATCCCTTTGTTAACTAATTTAATATTCCTTCTCAGTACGAATAATTGTTAAATTCTTGAGAAGGTTTGGATCAAAAAAAAATTAAAAGGGATATCAATCGATTTGGGAGGATTAAGAAATATATCAATCGAGCAAAAGGATTTGGAGAAAAATCTGGGGATTAAAATAATTAGAGGAGATATTCTGGAATTCGTTGAACTAGAGGGTTAAGAAGGTTTTTAACTTCGGAGGAATCCTCAAAATTCATTATATCCTCCTTAATCACTTTTGGAAGCCAAGCATTGCTTATCTTTATTCTCTATTTTTATGCAACAACTTCAGTATCTTGGTTTTGCGGCACGCGCCTCGCGGGGAGTCTACGGGCGATGGGTCTGGGCTCGTAACATAAACTTATTCTTATCTCCCTTGCTCTGGACGTATTTGGGGCCTCCGTAGCAGCAAAAATCTCCATCGTTCTTATCACATAGTAGTTTTCATAATATTAATTAATAGAAATGTATTATTTAAAATTCTGATCCTTTCAAATAAGTTTTAATTTTGTCCGGTTCAGTCGAATTCTATTTTTGTATGGCTGATTAAACAGTCAAAAACTTCGACAGTTCCCATCGTGTTAAAACCAAATCGAGCGTTGAACTTACATATATACATTAACATTTTAGAGTTTCAATTATAATTCAAAATACCCAGTTTAGTTGGAATATCCAACTTACAAAAAATGAATGATGAAAAAGCGTAAATAGACCAAATAATCTTAATCTTTTTTACATTTAACGAA